GAGGCATCTGTACAAGTGAAAATGCATTTGTGGAAACTGATGCTCATAAAACATGCGTCCTTCATTTAATGTAGTATGAGCGTACAGAAATTGTGGAATTGGAGCTCAAATTAAAAACAGATTACTATACCCGGCCTCTAGTTTTGGACTTTTGCAATCTATAACAGTGGATTTAGAGGATTTCACTAGGGCACTCATTACAGCTAGAGTTATATCTGCCAGATTAATGGAGACGCAATAGCTGAAGTACAAATGCAGAAGTGCACAAATGGTTTCCACATTTGTTTTTTTTGCATCTGCCGAGAGTCTGTTTCCGTGTCTAGAGGTCCAATTTCAAATGCAAATTGTTTCCATAAATTGCTTAAGAAGCAGGTGGTATTTGTTAAATTTTTCTCTCACGTTCCCTCTGTGTTGGGATTATGTTCACAATCTTCCTTTCTCTGTTTCCAGATCATTCACATTTATTCGAGTGCCAATGGGCAGCCGAACAAGATTGCAATTGTCTGTGTGCTAATTAATAATTTACATAATACTTCATTCTGGGAGAATTTTATTTTCCTCTGCGCCAGCGTTAATTGTGTTAGCTAAGCTACCGTCATTACTTATCATTAGGAAGACAGTTAAATGTGCACATATCCAGCTCTCATTATCGGGTGAATCATCCATCAGAAGCCACACAGATTTAAACACAGTAGCAGGAAAGAAACCGCACAACGGGGACACAAATCTTTAACCATTTGTTCTTCTGTTAGTTGGAGTTCAAGCACCTACATCATTCGCGTAAGTAGTTTCTCTTCTTGTTTGGTAATTAGATTAGTGTTATTGTGGTTTAGAAACAAGCACCTTAACATGAACACAGTTCCTCTCATTGTCAAGTTTTGCACGTTTGCACGACTATTTTTACATCACACACTTTGTACAGCATGCGGTATTTAAAAGCTTAAGAGAAATCTCTGTGGAAATTTCTCTTAAGCTTTTAAGGTGAAAGGAAAGGAAATAAAGAATTTCCTTTCCTTTCACCCGTGGTTCATCATTCAAGGAATCACCTCAGTGGCCTCCTGCACTATCATCTAAGTCTGTGTGATGAATCCCGAATGGAGGGCTCTGATTTATGTTTCCAAGGTGGAGGAGTCAGCAGAAGACTACAATTCTTCCTTTCTTTTGCTTTTCTTCACTTACCATTAACCTCATGGGATGATTTTGGCTAAGTGACACCCAAATAAACCGACGCATGCAGTTGAGGGATGTGGATCTCGTACCAAATTGTCATGCCAGAATTATTCTGTACATTGATGTGCTAGATTTGATTGGTGTGAATATTTCAGAAACTGATGATCAGTTCTCTGGATGAAAATGTCTTGCTAATGCCAGAGGTCATAGGTCAGAGACTGCTTTTCAGAGTCACTCATCGCAAAAACAGTTTGCAGAAGAGCATCTCTGAACATGCAGCCTACAAATCTGACGCAACTGTGTGATGCTGTCAGGTCAACATGAACCAAAATCTCTGAATCAGTGTGTCAGTCCTCAGTGGCATGAAAAATTAAGGCGGTTCTGAAGGCAAAAGGAGGGCCCACTCAGTACTAGCTACGTCAGTTTTTAATTTTACCACTCAAACATTGCACCGCATTTTGTCAGCTTCATTACCTCATGGTTGAATATTGTGCAGCTGCCATGTTGTTATGGGGCATCCACATCTCCTAATACATGTTTATACAGGCAGGAGGTTTGCCCATTATTATGATTTATTATTATTCCTGATTTCCCATTTCGTTCTAATGAAATTTTTTTGATGCGCTTGTACATAATAGTCCACCCAGCCTCTGCTTTAAACCAGTGCCAGACATGTACCTGTCTGTCTGCATCAGTCTCCCCCGCACCACCACCACACACAAACACGCTCAGTGCTTGTGTGCGCGTGCTCAGTTTCGAGGTTGTGTCCAACAGAGTTGATAGCAGGGAGTTGTCTTCATTGTTAGATAAATATTAGCAAAATAATCGATGACAAAAGACATTAAGAATGCCATTGATTGCAGAGAAATGGGACAACTCATTAGACGGATTACTTGGGAAAACACAGCTGACAGCAACTTCACAGTTGCGCCGTAAGCATGAAAAAGTCCACTGAAAATGCTGAATATTCAATACGGAGACACTTGTGGGCTTTGTAGTCCTGATTTCTTGGTGGGTGGTGTTGTCCAGACTACAGACACTATGTGCTGTGAAAGACAAGCTGGCTACAGTTTGTCTGAACAACCCTCTCTATTTAAGAACAGCGCAGCAGGACAGCATTTTTACCCCACTCCCTGCAGCACCTGTCACACTCACATCTGTCCCTCTGTTATCAGCGGCAGGTAGACACTTACCGATAAGTAGGCTGTAAAAGTGCTGTAAAAGTGCTGTAATTAATAATTTTATGATTATTTATAAGATAAATTGTATATAATGTTGCATAACTTGATAAGCAAGATAGATTTCTATCAAGTTTTGTAATGAAAATAACCAAGAATATAATGGATATGATAATTAACTCCTTAATAGATTGACAAATGAATGCAACATCTTTGTTTACATTGCATAAACCTTTCCAACATCTATAAGTTAACCCTTATTTATTTGTTTTGTTTTTTTCAGTATTAATAGATGTTTACAGACTGTTGGGTGCCGTGTCCTCCAGCTCTGTTCTAGTGGTGTAACCTTATGGAGAACAATAGTGTAAGTGCTCACGAAGGCAGTGCAAATATGCTGTTTTTGTAAAACCCTTTAAAAACAAGGTCAGTTAGCATAATGATGTTAAATTAAATAGTACGTATTGAGTTTTTTGGCCCTGGTCCAGATCTGGAGTCTTTTGATATGGAGTCCAATCTGATTCATTGCAATCGTGTTTGTTTCTTTTTCCCTCATAAAGGCTGTCTGGATGAACACAGTCAATGACTTCATTGGATTTCACCACACAGAGCAAAGTTTCATTTGATTACACAAGGCTAATTAGCTGATATGCTACCAGTGATGTTCATCAGGATAACTGGTGAAATCATTGGCTACAAATACAGTGATGTGAAAAATAAAGTACACCTGCCTGGTGTTCTGAGGTTTTATGTGTGAGGATATAAAAAAAATCATCTGGTCATTAGCAGGTTCTAAAATTAGCTAAATAAAACCTCTTATGAATGACAACACATGACATAGCACAACATCATTATTTATGATTATTTAAAAACTAAACCAAAGAGCAGTGTGAAATACTAAGTACACCTTACGATGTAGTAGCTTGTAGAATTAAACTTAGCAGCACTAACTTGTTGAAGCAGTTGTTTTGTCTATGATTTTATCTCTCACAATGTTGC